CGTGCAAGCGTGCGTGGCTACGTGCCGGCGTGCGTGCGTACCTACGTGCGTGCGTGCCTGCGTGGCTACGTGCGTGCCTGCGTGCGTGCAAGCGTGCGTGGCTACGTGCCGGCGTGCGTGCGTACCTACGTGCGTGCGTGCCTGCGTGGTTACGTGCGTGCCTGCGTGGTTACGTGCGTGCGTGCGTACCTACATGCGTGCGTGCCTGCGTGGTTACGTGCGTGCGTGCCTGCGTGCCTGCGTGTCTGCGTGCGTGCGTGCCTGCGTGCGTGCGTGCCGGCGTGCGTGCGTACCTACATGCGTGCGTGCCTTCGTGGCTACGTGCGTGCCAGCGTGGTTACGTGCGTGCATGCGTGTCTGCGTGCGTGCGTGCCTGCGTGCGTGCGTGCGTGCGTGCCGGCGTGCGTGCGTGCGTGCGTGCGTGCGTGCGTGCGTGCGTGCGTGGGAGGAGCTGAGAGCCATTGGTAAACCCGGAGCGGAATATAGGATTGATTTCCGGTTGTAATTTCAACGCGAAAAAAACGCGAAATGAAAAAAAATTCGGATTCTCGATCACTTGCAGCATTCCTGACTGCTTTCGACAATGAAATGGGACGCGAGAGAGTAAATAGATACACAAAAGGAAGAGCGGGGGCTGATGCACGTGATATTGCTACCAACTACCCGATGGCCATATTTGCTCTGCGACCATCGGCAACAGGACAACGATTTACTCTCTTCCTACTAGACGCTTTTGTCGAGTCAGTTTCGAGTGTTGAAACGCGCCCACCATTATCTGATTGGGTTTCGAAGTCAAGGAGTCTGTGACGGAAGGTCAAATAAAGGTCTCGTCTTCAGCAAAAAATATACAGCCAAAAAACCATCGGAAATGATTGTTTTTTCCCACCGAAATCCGATTGATTCTTGCAATCGTGCGTGGTCTACCCTAAGATGATTTTGTTTTGCTGAAAAAAATAGCCGCGAGCGAATGGCGAAGAGGTTTGTTGGTTTGTGGCGCGAGTATATCACATCAATAGGCGCACGTGGTAAGAGCGTTATCGGGGATACACACTGACGCGTTGCCATGGCATCCAATAGCAGTATTCCCCCTTATTATCTGCTCCTGATATCGTACTACGACATTGATTAAATACGTTAGTATCGCCGGTAGCGCGGTAGCCTAAGCCAGCTACCTATCTCCACTCCCGATATGACGGCAGTCACTAATAACAGATCTTCTTCCTCCTCGCCCTACTTTTCCTGTTCGTAGTACACTGTATTAGCATTTGTATAGAATAGAGATATTCTACATATGTGGTATTAACAAAGAGTATAGAGACGTAGGCCTACGGCTTTACACTCGCTGGTATTAGTATAGTATCGTATAGTATCGTATCACTAACGTATGGTATATAGTATTGGTATCGTATATAGTATCGGTATCGTATATAGTATCAGTATCGTATATAGTATCGGTATCGTATACTGTATCGGTCGCTCGTAAAATTACCGTAGGTTTGTCTCACGCTCAACTCTCCTTGACGTCAGGTGAATCCGAATCTGGTTCCGATCGGACAGAGGTCGCTGTCGGCAGAGCAGGCGAAGCAGCAATACCTGAAGATAGTCGCCGACCTGCCGTCGTTCGGTGTGAAACTCTACAACATCCTGCTCAGGGTGAGATATACGCGAAGGCATCCTAAAAAATTTGTGGTGTGCATATAGGTATATATATATATATATTGTGTGTGTGTGTGTGTG